ACAATTCACAGCGAACTTTTACAGTGTATTCATACTTGATCCAAAACTTTTATTTATTTTGCATTTGTCTTGCTTTCAAATGATGAAACTTAGAACCCATACCCCTGCTGGAAGGTTCACTCAAAAAAGCATTAAAATATATGTGGTTTTTTTTAAATATTACATGCTTCACTCTTTCCATGCATTAACCAGAAGCAGGTGAATTCCAAATACTTTGACAGAACACCATTGCAATAAAAAAAGCAGAAGAGGACAAAAATAATCATCTTTGTTTTATTGTAACCAAAAGTGGGTTTAACATCTGGAAAATGCAGTAAATTGCCACTATTCCAACTGCCCAAAGATTTTTGAGCAGCTGTTCAGTTGCCAGCATTCTGCCAATGGAACAAGGAACATACATATATTTCGCTCATATTTTTCTCTTTAAAAACTCAACACTGCTACCATGAGCTACAGTAGAAGAATAGGAAGTTGGATGCACTGGGCAATGGACCGCCTTAAACCAGCATTTCTCAACCGTGGCAACTTTAAGATAGGTGGACTTCGGCTCTCAGAATTCTGGAAGTTGAAGTCCATCCATCTTAAAGTTTTCAAGGTCGAGAAACATTTGCCTTAAATGGAGTGCTTGCATATATGAAAAAAAAAAAAAAGAGCCACCATTCTGTGCAATGATGTGCGATACAACCTTAGCCATGCTTGCTATAACCACTTAAATTGGCACGGTTTAGGGACTGCGTTCATAGATCAGCCTTGTCAAAGAACTCAACGGCCTTCTTTTCTAATTGAATTGGTGATTTCCAAAGTTGAGATACTCTGTCACTCGAAGACATAGCTTGTTTAGCCCCTTAATTGAAGACATGATATCTGATGGCTTCATGCAGTAAACCATAAACCACTATTTGTAAATCATGGCGGATGGGTCAGTATAATGTAGACATAGCATGATTTGAAGCAGCAAAAGGACCAAGCCATATGCTGTTTCAGTGGGAAAGTAAGTAGTTTTCTTTCCAGGAAATTATAATGTTCAGCTTCTAAATACCTTCTGGATTATCTATCCTGACACTTGTGTCCCAAATCTTTTAAACAGGTAAGGACAGTTAATTCAGTTTCTGGAGACTGTTCAACACCTAAACATGTTTTTTTTTTCCTGATAAAATACTGGGAAATTAAAAGGATCATCAGAATATGGAAAACACTATTAATAATACACAGTTTTAATTGTTTGGACTAATTATTTGGCTGGACCTGTCAGAACCCAAAAGAAAGTGAAGCTAACTTTAAGAGCTAGAAATAGAAGTGGTAGAAGAAGACACTTCCAGATGGTGTTCAGAAGATGTCTAAGAGGGATCAATTTTGAACTTATTTGCTTAACCAGCTTGCACCTGCAATGGAAAAGCGCCTATTGTAAGGCCATTAAAGGTAGGGACAATTCTGAAACTAATCCAGTAATTAACATTCAGTTAAGACACATTCCTGTGGGGAAACTCAACAATACCCATTCATGTCAATGGATCTCTTGAAAGAACTTCCCCCAGTCAGCTGTACCTTTATTGAAGAATATACTGTATTTCCCTTCCATACTTTTTTACATGGATGGGCAAACACCATTTGCCCATCAAATGGACACACCAACTTTCTTCTGAACTGAGCTGGGAGCTCCATGACAAGTTGCCATGTTTACTTGGCAACACATCTAAAGTGCTCCTAAGCTTCTTTCCAATTTCCCATTCATATGACCATCAATTACTTTCATACTGCTAACATTAGATTCGACAAAAGAGCCACCTAAGTAAAAGACGACAATATTTGGGAGAAAAATGACCCGTTGTTCCTTTCTTCCCAAACCAGAAATTATCAAGTAGTTGGAAATTATTCGATCATTTCAAATGTACCAAGAAGCTACATTACAGTCTACTTCAGAGGTCTCCAAATTTGGCCACTTTTAAGACTTGTGGACTTCAACTCCCAGAATACCCCAGCCAGCTGCCTGGGGAATTCTGGGATTTGAAGTCCGCAAGTCTTAAAATTGCCAAGCTTGGAGAGTCCTGATCTAGTGCACATCCAAGGTTGCATCAACTTGGCAGAGGTAGCCTGTATAGTGTATGTATAGATGTCTTAAGTATTATGTAAATTAAATAATTCAGTAAAATATTTCACATACTCATGTTAATTTGCTGAAGCTCTTTGTCTATCACATCCCACATTTTTCCCCAAACAAAATGACACTTAAACATATTTAAAATTCAGGTTTGATGTCCCCTGACAACCAAGAGATAGGTCTTCCTATGAAAAGAGAACACCAGAATTCATGCTTCAAAAGGATAAGTAATGCAATCTATTACCTACCCATTTTAATGTTCATATATAGTTTCAATCTGTCCCAACAGTGCTTTTTCCAAAAAAGCAGAATAATAGAGTTGGAAAGGACCTCGTAAGGTCTTCTAGTCCAAGCCGCTGCTCAAGCAGGAGACTCTATACCATTCCAGACAAGTGACTGTCTAGTCTCTTCTTAAAAACCTCCAGTGTTGGAGCACCCACATCTTTTGGAGACAAACCGTTCCACTGGTTTAATTGTCCTCACTTTTGGGAAATTTCTCCTTAGTTCTAGGCTGAGTCTCTCCTTGAATTGAACAGAATTTGAAGAACTTGGGAAGTTTCTTGGATGAGAAGTGAAACGTTTTCAAAACCAAGAAAGTCCAGTTGCCTTTTGGGAAAAGCACTTTGGTGGCAGCCATGACTTGGCTGACGGAGACCCTCCATTGACATGCAATTTCAACCCTTTCCCTGAAAATAGTGTTAAAATACCTTGAACAACGGAGTGTTCACACACATACAAGATGGACATTACGAAGTACAATATAACCTTAATGTTTGAAACCCCAGCCTATTGGATCATGGTCCAAGCGGAGGTTATCATCAGCCATCTTTTGTTGCTTTTGTCTCTTTTTTTTTTTTAAATAACAGAACAATGAGAGAGTGACCAGAGGAAAAGGAAGCAAGACCTCTTGCATTACCCCAGAAGAATCTGATTCTATTAAAGGTATCTCCATTCAGTGCAAATGTTAAAGATACATGAGCGTTGTCTCCACAAAGTCCCTAGGCTTCACAGAGGGAGAGAAACAAGGAGCATGAAAGACTGTCAAGTTAAAAATGGGCTCTTGCAATAGGTTCTGGTTAAAACACCACTTTTTAAACCCTAACCTTTCTCCAAGGACCCATTTTGGATTTGAAAATAATGCCAGCAGTCCTTGACTTACGACCACAACTGAGCCCAAACTTGCTAAGCAAGTCAGTGGTTAAGTGAGATGTGCCCCATTTTATGACCTCTCCTACCACAACTGTTAAGCGAATCGCTGCAGTCATACAGTTAGTAACACGGTTGTTAATCAAATCCGGCTCCCCCATTGACTTGGCTTGGCAGAAGGTCGCAAAAGGGGATCACGAGACCCCCTGGGACACTCAATAGGAACCAGCTGCCAAGCGTCCAAATTTGGATCCCGTGACCTTGGGGATGCTGCAACGTTCATACTGTGAAAAACAGTTGTAAGTCACTAGTTTCAGTGCCGTTGTAACTTCAGTCACTAAACAAATGGCTGTAAGTTGAGGATCACCTGTAAAGGCTTTACAGTTCCAGTGGATACGGGCTAGCTAATTCATGCACAGATTCAGCGATTTTATTATAAACTGTTGTGAGGTCTGGAAGGATGTCGTAGAAATTATTTTAATACAGACAATAAGTAAAGCGCGTCTTCTCATCGTTGGATGAGCCTTAACGTCAAATGGAGTCTCGCATCCGTGAAACATCTCAGTGCGCCGTATTCTCCAACATATCCATTTTAAAAAAAAGACAAGTGTAGAACTCAGATCGTACATTCAGCCTCAAAGGAAGAGCAAGCATAAAGGAACTCCAAGCCATTAAAAAAAAAAAAAAGGTCTATCATTTGCAAGAGTTGTGTTCAGATCACACTGGCGGCCAGGGATATTACTAGCCAGGAATTTCATGCCTTTAAAAATCAAAATAAGTGTCTTAAAGTTGGAACTAGGCATACGCAAACCAAAGTGCTAAGACAAATCACTGGTAAAAATAACATTTTCCAGTTCACAGAAAAAAATACCCTAATCAGCATGTAAGCCTACCATTAGAATTTGTTAGAATAGTTGCAGAGCTGAAAGGCATTTTTATAGCTTTGGAATATGGGCATCTACATCCGAGGTAGCTAAATATAAACAAAAACAAAACCCAACCCAATAGCTTTTCAGTTCTTTCAAAACTCTGTTCAGCCTGCATTGCCACTGAAACCCAATATTTATTATGATGTCTGGATTGCTGCTCTTTGACTAAACAACACAAGAAGCGTCCGACCTCTTGGCTTGCCTGGGCCGCATTGAGTGAAGAGGAAATTGTCTTGGGCCACATGTAAAATATAGAATATAGTTAATGTACATAAATCACATCATAATGTTCAAAGTTGACCAAGAGGGGATCTTGGTGCTCTCTGAGCTTGATTGTTTTCTGGCAGATGTTTCATTACCCAAACTAGGTAACATCATCAGTGCTCGTAGTTTACAATGATGTTAAAGTTTAGTCTTATGGAGCCTCATCGCTAGCTGTCCATGTGGCCTGTGGACCATAAGTTGGACACACTTGCCTTAGGTCAATGTTTCTTAACCTTGGTAGCTGTAAGATGAACACCAAGAATTCCCCAGACAGCACAGCAATCCACACATCTTGAGAAACGCTGCCCTAGATGATCGTGGAGGTCTTCTCCTCCCAATGACCATCAGTTGCAATGATCACCATTTGGCTAAGCAAATGCAAACAGAAATGGCATTCGAAACAACAGGTGCTGAGCCTCAAAACAACATGCAGTTCAGATCTGCAGATCTTTTCCTATAGACTTTTAGGTTCTCCATCACAACCTTTCTTCTCTATTAGGCTGGCCTTATCATGCATTGCCTCAGCTTGCTTCCTATCTTTTACATTCATGGTGTTTTTTTTAAAATGCATGTAGTGTTGACTGTTCATATGGACAACAAGCACTTCAAGCTGCATTTTATGACTCCAGAAACAAGCCACAAAGGGCCATGTCATGCCAGACGTGACAATCAACGTGGCAGTGAGCATAGAACAGCTTCTTGAGAATCTCATGTAGTTTAGTTTTATTGCTGCTAATTGTGCTATACAAACTTTTTTTAAAGGAATGCTTGCTGAAAACTCAGAAGCGAGAGGTACGGCTTCGTGAGTTTCCCAGTGTTCAGAGGTAAGGGAACATCAGAATTCTCCTGACCCCTTTCCAGAAAGCAAACAAGAGTAGTACTAAAAAAGAAGAAGCCATAATTATCCCGTGTCAAATAAATTTGCATAATTTATGTGGGCCAAAAGAATACAGCCTTCTTTGGCATCGGATTTTGATGCGGAACGGTGGCCAATCCCACCACCCTTTTTATCTTTACTTGAGAGGAAATACATCATTGCTCATAGTCAAGTACATTCGCTTTCACCCAGAGGTGCAAATTAGACAGGGGAGGGGGGAAAAAACAACCTTTTAATTTCTCCTCTATGAGATGTGAACTTGCAAAACCTTTTCCTCTGTGCCAAGATCTTCTTAGGCTAAAAGTTGCAATCCTGCTCTCCTGTGCTTTTTCACTCTTGGAGAGCAACTAGAAAGACAGCAGAGAGATAAAATGCAAAGGAAGGAAGAGACAGGGAGGCGGTGGCAGCTAAGATGAAGAAGCTGTGAGCTGGAATTTAAGAGTAACTTACAAGGGGACTTTAGAAGAGGGGGGACAATTTTCTTACACAGCAGTTTTCTTGCCAACATTTCCATTATATGTAAAACCAGTGTCTTCCAGGTTTGTGCTCTGGGGCGTCAATGGAGCATCTCTTATTTATCTTACATTTTTGTGAATGAAGCACTGAGAAGGCCTTCAAGGCCACACACCAAGGACCTCTTAGCCTGGAGAAAGCCTATCTACCTGGTCGCTTGGAGTCAACATGGATTTGACAAGCACCTAATCAATTGGTTAAATACTATCCCAAAGAACAAAGCATACAAATTGGTAAGTAACATTTTCATTATCCTATTTAAGACACAACATACATGACTTTAGATCAAAATTCTAAAAAAAAATTGTTTAAGATTAAAAACATTAATCTTAAAGTTTCCAGCAGTAGTTGAAAAAGAGGAAAATTATGCATTGGACTGTTCAAGGTTATTCTGAGGATTTTGATGCACACAGCAAAGATGGAAAACTCCAATGTATTTCTCACTGAGTTCAGGTCTACACGGCCTACTAATTGTTTAACAAAATCGATCAAAATAACTTTTAAGCCTGGCTGCATAAATGTGTTGTACATTTGCTAAATCCTATTCAGAGCTAATCCATAAATTAGTGTTTGCTTGCTAGCTAGGTGGTTTGTTTGTTTAAAAAAAGCAATTATCTTAATAAGTATATGGACTAAGTAATTGCTCCACATTAAAAGTCCAGAAATATATTTCCCCTTCGAGGGAATTCTTATCAATATTTCTCACACCACGTATGAAGCTTTTTTCTTCTTCTCTTGAGAAACAATTTCCGCATTTTCATCTTTTTTTTATATGAGGCTCATGGACCAGTCACTTGTAAGTAAGCCTCAAATCTGCCAGACCTTCAGACATGGATATATACTGGATCTTCGCAGCATGACGGGGATTATTACTACCAATCTCTACAGTATACTAAAGGGGAAGGCTGTGCAACTGGAAATTGTATTTTCTGAATTGTGCACTTAAAAGAGTCAAGTGTTTTTCCTTGCTTGTTTGGAATTTCCACCTGCTGATATACACAAAATAATTTATTAGAGCTAAGATAAATAGATTTGCTTTTTTCAGTAATGAAAATATTCCAGAATATTTCATCATCCTAAAATGAAGAGAAGATATTTGCTGCTATATACAGAAAAAAAAGAAAAAAGAAAGACCAACAATTCTTTGTTTGATCCCTGGTTAGAATGATCATCATTTGAATGAAGGCCCAAATTATCCCCACTGATCTCTTGAAACCTATAATTTCCAGTGATCAGTCCATCTACCTGAGAAGGAGAAAAGAACAAGAAAAGGCAAAATATCACACTGTAGGACTGACGGATTAACATTAGGAAGTTATTAACAGAATTCACTACTATTCTTCCATTCTTCGGTGCTCTCCTTAGGTCAAGGGTTTATTATTAAGTTCATATTATTATGAAGGTACCATCATCAAGAGAGAGCTGCCAGAAGCAGCTTTCAAGTAGTTTTCACATTTGTCAACAGCAAAACTCTGAATCTGCAGAAACTATCAAAATGCCCTCGATATACAATTGGCCTCACAGGCCTTCCCATTCTATGTCTTCCTTCATATTTAAGGATATTGGTTAACCCAACGTAATCAGTTCAAAACATACACGTTAGACAAGCTATACTGTGTGGTTTTCCTTTGTCAAAAAAAGATTACAAACTGTCCAAGGCATTTTTTTCGGATGAAGATGACAAGCTGAATGAGGTATCGTCGGGTTCTGGAGATGTATGATTGAAATCCATCTCTTCCAATTCTGGAGGTAAATCGGCTAGAAGTGCCTGAGAAAATGGAAACAATGAAAAGTTGCTCTTTATTCTTGTGAGTTTGAGGTCCTATCACATCAACAATTAACCAGTGGAACGGCTTTCCTTCAGGAATTTGGGGTGCTCCATCACTGGAGGCTTCGAAGAAGAGTCTGGACTGCCACTTGTCTGGAATGCTATAGGCAGGGATCTTCAAACTTGACAGCTTTAAGACTTGTGGACTTCAACTCCCAGAATTCCTCCTCCAGTCATGTTAGCTCAGGAATTCTGGGAGTTGAAGTCCACAAGTCTTAAACTTGCCAAGTTTGAAGACCTTGGTATAGGGTCTCCTGCTTCAGCAGGGGGTTGGACTTATTCTGTTTTGTTTTCAATCTCGGCATTACCTGTTCATGTCTCACCTGCTCCAAGATCCAAACTAGGCAAAACAACTAAGTCTAATGTGTGTCCCCCACACCCCACCAAGAGAAAGGGACTCAGGCCAGGAAGACAAAATGGGGAGTGACTGAATGATAGGATGATTCTGTTGATGCTAGGTCAAGAGTTGCATTTTTGCAGTTCTTCATTCAGTGAAATTCATTTCATTCATTATATTTCACACATCATGTTTTAACATTTTAAATGTTCGTGTTTGTCATTTTAATCTTTCAATGGTTTAACCAATTTTGGCTTGTTTTGATGAATTGTAAAGTCACCTTGTAGGAGAGATGGATGGCATAAATATTTAATAGATACCATAAATCCATCCCAGTCTCTGTAATCCACATTTAAAAAGCTCTATCATAAAAAAATATATATTCCAAGGCAACATCCTCACTGTGTATATATTTACACATATAACATTAGTGGCAGAGAGTTGCTTTCACCGGGAGACCCACTGAAACTCGCTTTTATCCTCATAGCAGAGGCCTTCAAAAATGACAAAAGTTTGCTTCCTTTTCCTTTAGTCTTACCTGCTGCTGATCTTTATCGTCTGTTTTGACAGCAAGTATCAAACTTCTCGTGAAAGTCTGGAGTTCGAAATACTTCTGTTTTTGATGCTCCAGTTCACTCTCAACGAACCTTACTTCCTCGTTCTGGAAGGAGGAAAAAAGTTCTATATAATATTTCATTTTGTAAGGGAGTTAAATTGCTCTTCTCAAATGTGTGTCCCCCCCTCTTTTGGCTTTTTAAAGGGGAGCGATATTTGCAAATATGTGGTGCAAATATGTAGAGTTTTATGCTTGAGAAAAAGTCAGTTGATATAAAAATAAATCACTTTCTCACTTACAGTTTTGAGATGCAAAACATGAAGTTATGGTATTTATAATAAATTTACAAAGTATTTTTTCAAAATATTTTCAAAATGAGAAATACTAAATAATAAATTAAAGTATAGCAGCACAATCCAATTAAACACTAAAATGCAGAAGCAAAATGCACCCTTCTTAATCCATATCCTATCCTATCCTATCCTATCCTATCCTATCCTATCCTATCTATCTATCTATCTATCTATCTATCTATCTATCTATCTATCTATCTATCTATCTATCTATCTATCTATCTATCTATCATCTATCTATCTATCTATCTATCTATCTATCTATCTATCTATCTATCCTCTTTTAATGACCCCATAATTCCTTGTGGGGTGAGTCTGGGAAACTGAATAGAGCTGAGTGTTTACTGGCTGGATGCCCTTCCTGTCGCCAATGCGGAAGTTTTTTCAGCAGATATATTCCCAGTGTGCCCAGAGAGAGAAATATCTGCCTCTACCTTGGATCGAACTCTCAACCTCCTGATTGTGAAGTGAGAGCTCCATCTCTAGGTCACCGCACCACTATCTATCTATCATCTATCTATCTATCTATCTATCTATCTATCTATCTATCTATCTATC